TTGTTCCAGCTAGCGGGACTGGCCTAAGGGATTTTAAAGGGGTTTTAATTACTTTTAAATTTGACATATTTAAATATTTCGTTTTAATCAAATTTTAATTAGGTATAATATGTATAATATGTTAGTATTTTATCCAATTGTCAGCCGCCCTGAGTCCGCAAGGAGAAGGGCGGGATATAAATGTAATTAATAAATAAAAAATAAATAAATGGTTCAGGTACAATCCTCTGCACCTCTTTAAGCCTGTTTAGTGCCTTGCGTGACCTTTGTTCTTCTTTCTGGGATGACAGCTTGAGAAGATCATAATAGATGTCTCGTGGAGATCATAAAGTCTTTACTTGTATATCCTACAATGCTTCCATGCCACATTGGACTATGACACTATGGGGGATTTAAGCATAAGCACTTGCTGCAGTACTACTAGTCCTCAGGCAAGTGTTTCCCCAAGTCTCTCTCAAGCCATTCCTGATGTCCTTCACATATTATTTGTAGTATCTAAGGAGCTTCTTAATGTCTCCTATAACAAAGTTACATTGCTCTTACCACTGACTCAATTCCCACTAGAGTATCTTATCACTTCAAAGTTACCCTGATATTTTGGTATACAGCTAAATATTGTCCTGTTTACATTCAGGTAGCAAGATTAGATCAAAAACCAGCACAATGCTCTTGTGATAAGATCAGTGGGCCAAACTATAATCCAAAAACAAGTCCAGAAGTTGAAACATAAACATGAAAAATTAACCGTTCTCAGGATTAAGCAGCCAGGTGTTATCCAGTCGAAGTAAAATTCAGAAGTTCCAGGAAACTAAGGATGGTCTAGAGTCCAGACACAAGGTCATATTGATACTCAACGTTTACAAGCCCTTGACTGTGTTTAGATGTTCTGGTGACTTCTGGTGATCAGAAATTATAACTACGGTAGCAGCTAGGAGCATCCTGTTGGCTGAATGCTGCTTTGAGCAGAAAGCAATTTGAAAAAAATGTCATTTTCTCCCCCAGTTTCCTGTGGAGACCCTCCCGCAGTTGAGAATGCCAGGCACTTTGGCAAAAAGAAAGACCGCTATGAGATCAACGCTTTGGTGCGCTACCAGTGCAATCAGGGTTACATACAGCGGCACGTGCCTATCGTCCGATGCCAATCAAATGGGCAATGGGAAGAGCCTCGGATAGCCTGTATAGACTGTACGTAAGGTTTTCTGGCGAATGTTTCAGCATTTGTACCCACAGCCCTTTCCCCTATAACCAACAGAGGGAGGGCATGGCGGCTCAAACGGAAATTTACAATAATGTATACATGATGTTATATTGATGCCTTTAATTGTCTGGGTTTGCATTCCCACGGTTTATAAACCAAACTGGTTAGTTCTGACTACGTAGCTGGTATGCAAAAACTATATTAAGTATTTCTGGATTTTAGAGGGGGAGGAAGGGGAGGGGGTAAGGTTTGGGTAGAATTTGCCTGGGGTGACTAAGTGAAGTAGACAACTAGGAAGGGAAAAAAATAAAGTAGAAGGAGAGACGTTGTTTTTTTCTCTTGATAGAATTAGAACTGCTTCTCTCTATCCTGTTCACACTTTTTTCTATCAACCACCTACTCATTTGTAATGTTCTTTTAATTAGGAGGGAAATCCCTGAAAGACTTTCCACAAATGAGATTTAAACCTGCTTTCAATTAAGACAATGCCTGCACTGCTGCAGAAGCGTCCCTGGTGTCCTGTGTTT